GAACCCCCATTACCTGAGTGTCAACCCAACACTGTAACCTGACCAGTGCCAGCGTGCCTGCTGCTCTGCGGTACGAAACCAAAGCCCATCCCAGCCCTGAACTGCAGCCAGAGCCTGGCAGGGTTCAGTGAGCATGGCTGGGGCAGGAGGAGCCATGAGAACACGGTGGGATGGAATGGGGAGAGGAAGGTCAGAGCCAAGCCCAGCTCGGAGAGGGAACATGCCCAGCTGCCTGGCAAACAAACACGTCTTTTATTATTGACTCAAAGGAGGGGCTCTCCAGGGCTCCACGCTACAAAACCATACATTTTTAACGTCTAGATGGCCCCTCTTCTATGGAGAGTCTCTGGCTGCTGTGGCTGGAGAGGATTTATGCTGGCAATCACTTGCATTTTCATCTGTGAAACGGAGTAGAGTGTGCTGAGTGTGAGGGATTTAATTTAAAAAAACCTGCGGCAAGACCTTACAGACATCACCACCAATGGGTTTAGCCCTGTTCCCTTCTGCCGGTTCCTCCATTATTAAATATATTTATTATGTCCTTTTGCCTCAAAAAACTAAGAATCCTCCTTCCTTCTGAAGAAATGAAATGCGAGAGATACGTTTTTGTGGTCATGGACTGTGTCTTTGGTGACTGGTACTGAGCTCAGCCTCCTGCTAAACAGCAAACAAACACCACACGTAGTGGAATTTCTCACACAGGTCAAACATTTCGTATGTCCCTGGTATTAAAGCAAAACGGCTTTACTAGCATCACTAACAGAGGGCCCACTTAGGAGATGTACTGACACACCTCCATTTTCATAGAGCAGATGAAAGGTCCGAAATAAAAAACCCTGAGGGTGAACTGGAAATATTTCCGCCTCAGGTCTAGTAAATTTTTAATATGAACATAAAGTTCAGTGTTAGATCCTGCCCTTTTCTAAAAGCAGCATTTTATATTAGCACCATAAGGGGAGAGAAAACAAGAAAAGAGAGCTCAAAAAGGAAGCCTCAGATTGGCCCAGCATGTACAACACTTGTGGTCAAACAGCACTCTTGGGACACAGGCCTGGAAGAACCACTAGACAACCTTAAAGCAGAAAATATTCCCATTTAGGTTTTTCTGGGAAGGGACAGAGCTCCTTTCCCCATCTCCTGCAATAACACCAGTTATGGTTTTCCTTCCCTTCCTACTCCTGGTCATGTCTCACCCACCTGCCTTGGCCCTGGGCAGAGGTGGGGACTCACCACATCTCAGAAATGCCTGGCAACAGACTATTTCTCAAGAAGTATGTACATCTTTTTATGTTTGTTTCAGTCCACTTCAGAAGGAAAGTAGGCATTTTTCAAATATATTAGCAGTAGGAATTGTCTCTTCTTCATTTTGGAAAACTTTTAATTTATTTTTTTCCTTCCAATTTTGGCTTAGAATTTTATATCACTTTGTATCCTTGTTTTATATGTAACAGTAGTTCACAATATTTTGACTAATATCAGCATGTCAAAAAAAGCAGCTGAAATAGTCTTTTGTTTTTATTTTAAAAACTACTCTGACAGTGACTGGCTGGCACATATAATTTCCTTTACTAGAAAACAGTATCTCCTAGACCTGCTGGTAATGCCACAGCTTGACACAATTGCACATGTTGTTAATAACAGCAATACACAGTGATAGGAAGTGATGCAAAAAATCATAAAAATAAATACAGCTCTGAAACGAACTTTGAGAAGTTTTTCAATTCACAGTTATTTCCCTCATGGGAAATTAAGTAAAAATAAATATATTTTTCATACTCAATGTCTATTGTGGTGAGACATTTCCTATCAGATCAGAATGGGAATCCCAGAAGGCAGCGGAGCTCGATGTTCTGTAGAGCCAGTCATGGGCTGCCTTCTCTATGAACTGCCAAGCTCTGCCCAGAGCCTGACTGGTCAAAGCCCAGCTGCCCTGGAGAGCAGGCTGTCCCCAGCAGCAAGAAGGAAAACTCAGTGAAGCCTTCCAAATGCCCTAGCTCAATTTACAACCTTCCTCTTCCTCTCACAGTGCCCCTAGGCTGGGCTTACAGAGACGAAGCTGCAGCAATGACTGCTCTTCCCTCTTCTGCAAGCACATACCTTGGCATAATGTTATTTGTGAAGATGAGTTCCCCCTGCTCCCTATTTCTGTTTGTTTCATAGAGAGTACCTGACTATCCCCATCCAATGCTGAGTCAAACTGCCATGGGATGAAGCCAGTAAGCAGAGATATTCCACATTTATTAGCCATCTCCCACTTTCCACACACTCAATGAACGAAAAGTGTCCCCCTCCTTCTCCGTTTCACCCATGTTTATTGTAGGTTAAACCTCAGTGTAAAAGATCTCAGGCATCTTTTCCTCAGAAACATCATTTCTGCTAATCTAAGAGGTGTACTTTCCTGCTTCCTCCTGGAAGAGCTTCACCAAAGTCATCCAGGAACTGGTTTCCTCCAGGCATCTTTGTGTGTCTGACATGCGCTGAGTTTTAGTTACATCCCTAATTACTTCTATAAAGAACTTAAACTATAAAAACCTGACTCTTCTCTCCAAGAAATTTAGACCATGTGACCTGTCTTCCTAAACTATACCTATCCAATTTTCCCTGCATCTCAGCTCACGTGAGAACTACGTCTTGCAGTGGAGAAACACTGGTTCTCAAGGGAGCAATCCTGATCCCAGGTTCAGCACCTGATGCCTGAGGTAATCCATTCCCTCCCATGAAAGTCATACCTTTGGTAAGGTTAAATGTCATCCAGCTTTGGTTTTGGAACAGAAATTTGGTCTTTGAGCAGTACTGTCCCTCTGAGATGAGCACATGGGATATTCCCTGCAGAAGAGCCTTGCCTGCTCTCAGGCAGCACTGTCCTTTGAACTTCTGCAAACACAAAGGCTTTTAAACTCTTGGATTAAAATAGCACTTCAACACTGGCATTTGCTCCAGTGAAATGTTTGCAAGGAGCAATCATAGCCCTTTCAGCTTTTGGGAAGCAAGGCAAAATAATTAAAAATAAAAGGGGAGGAGAAAACACTCTTTCAGCTTCTTGTTATGGAAGCTCATCACTCCCTGATCACCCCAGATTTCTTTATCTTTGTCTAAACTTCCTCCAGTTTGCATTCATTGGTTTTGAACTGGTGATCAAATGTGAAAATAAATTGTGTTTCCCTATAAAATGTGGGGTTTATATCTAGGAAGATCTGAGTTTCTTAAACACTAGGTTGAAGGGGGAGGGCTGAACATTTCCCTGCTAAAACACACGCAAAGCACAAAACTTTCCTAATATAGCAACAAAATCTTTTTGATAATCAGAACAGCTACTGCTTTACAAGTGGGGATTTCCCGAGTGGACAGTGGCTCACAGACAAACCTGTGCTCCCTCATCTGCAAAGCCAAGATGGAGAAAAGAGATGTCAGGCTGGCAGAGACCCTTCCCTGGGAGCAATCACGACCTCCCCTCCTGGGACTATCAGAGCAGCAAACGGATGCCCCTGTCCTAACACCAGGGCTCAGAGTCTGCCCTGTGCCAGGAAGGGGAAATAGCAGCACAATTGCAAAAATAAACCCCTGGGAAAAAGCTATTCAGTCCTCTGAGCTCAGAGAGGCTGGAAAATAATTTCATGTCAAAACACAAGTAGGGCAATAATCTCTGCATTCATCAAATACAGGGAGGAACACCCTGAAAGGAAAGGCTTGAGACTTTCCCTCTTCACCATGTCTGCATCCCTGGATCCCTGACCAGGGATTGCACAATGGGCCTGGGAGTGGAGTGATAAGTCACGAGACTTGGTTCAGTGGCTCCTGCTGCAAAGCCTGATGGAAGATGCACCCTAAGAGGCTGAAAAGGGATATGTCAGTAGCCCTCCTACAGGACTTCTTCCAAGCATTCATCTCTTCAGGGATTTCTGCTGCAAATTCAGTGAGAATCATGATGCAGGGGATGGTTGCTGACTATCTTCACACCCATTTATTTGGATGCCCCATGGAGCTCACATGGAGGAATTACAAAAGTTCCTCCTCCACAGTTATTGTTGCCCTCAGCAGCCTTTCGGGTGATCTCAAGGTGCTTCTCTGTAAATTTGCCCTTCTTCCTGCATCTCATTGAAGAGAATATCTGGGCCATTGCCATCATAAAACAGAATCATACAATTGTTTAGGTTGGAAAAGACCTCTAAAATCAGCAAATCCAACCATTAATCCAGCACTGCCAACTCCGCTATTAAACCATATCCCTGAGTGCCAAATCTCCACTTCTTAATACCTCCAGGGATGGTGACTCCACTGCTGCCACGGGTAGCCTGTTCCAATGCTTGACAACCCTTTCTGAAAAGAAATTTCCCCGAATATACAATCTAAACCTGCCCTGGTGCATCTTGAGGCCATTTCCTCTCATCCTGTTACTTGTTACCTGGGAGAAGAGACTGACCCTCACCTCACTACAATTTCCTTTCCTGGTTGTTGTAGAGAGCAATAAGGTCCCCTCTGAGCCTCCTTTTCTCCAACCTAAACACCCCCAGCTTCATCCTCGGAAGACTTGTCTTCCAGTCCCTTCATCACCTTCACTGCTGGACACACTCCAACACTTCAATGTCTGTCTTGCTGTGAGGGGCTCAAAACTGAAGACAGAATTTGAGGTGCATCAGTACATTTCATCATCAAAAGACTGCATCACACCACTGCACTGTTCATTGCTCATCCACACACTCCCATAAAAGATTCTTGTAAGAAACCATCAGAACTGAACTTCCCCAGAGCAATCACGTACCATGACGGGTGCACAAACTTTGCAGCCTGTTCTGTTGTAGACGTGCCCGCGTTCACTGGCACACAATCTGCAGCACTCCTCCTGGGGTGTACGAAATGCAGGAAAAGGAAAGAAAGTGTGTCTCCCCCCACCTGCTCTATGGGTACAGGACATGCTCCCAAACATGATCTCAAGGACTCACATGTGTGCTGTATTTCTTACCTCGTCACCCATGACAATGGTATTACCAGACCACACTCACCTTTCAATTTCTTCTTTCCAAATTTTAATCCAAATAGAGACATCCCAAAACTTTATTTTAGTCCAACTCCATGGAACTTCTGCAAGAGAAAAGAAAAGGCAACTCACAATACATACTGTAGCACATACATGTAATTCTGTGACCATAAAATGGGGGAAACAAACTCCTAGGCACCATGGCCAACAGCTACAGTTTATCATCTAGAATGTTTAAATGCAAAACAATCTTAGGTTTTCAGGTTGCACGACATCAGTGTGGGCTACCTTACCTTGGGCATGTTGATCAATTCACCTTCTGACATGGCACAAAGAAAAGGCTGGTGTAGGAGAGACTGAACAGGACATTCCCACTACATTGGTGCTATATGAAAAGGAGAAAAAGCACTGGGCTTGCACTTAAGGTACAGATGAACTGTATGACTGCCCAGAGCAAGACCAGCCTCCCTAAAGAGGAGGAAGCAACGGGAAGCACTGGTTTCCTGTACATCCGCCTGTGTTCAACATGTGCTGGCTCACACTGTTGTCCATTGCTGGTTACTCTCTGCGTTGGGGTGGACAAGAATAAAATTTCTCTCCCACTGTCTTCAAACTACTTGGCCCAGAAGCCTAAAGCCAGGCACCAAAACTGCATATAAGTCACTGAATATATCCTGACAGGCAGAAGAATTGAGCGTTAAAAAAAATCACACCAAAACCTGTTGGTAATGAAAGTTTCAGTGTTCCAATCACACAAGTTTATTTAAAGGATGTGAAGGTGATATTGGTGCTGACAGCCTAGAGGATCTGTGAACATGAGAAAAGCCAGCATTGCCTGGCATGCCTGGCTGACCAGGAGCCTGAATCAACAGGAACACCATGCCAGTTGCTTAAGTGGTCAGTGAGCCAAGCTGAGACATTTGAGGGAGTCACAATCTATCCAGAACAAGTTTTCTAGGTGACAGATGTAGTTTTGCACTTTATCCTATGCTATTTGTGCTGATCAAGGGCTCCTAAGGAGACAGATATAGCAAATACGTAATATTTTGGAAACATGCACATGCCACTGCCCAAATGCAAGCCTGATACAACATCACCAGTGCAAGACTGGGCTTCACGTCTTTTCAGAAAATAAAGGTAAAGTTTAAGGAAGACTCTACAATCCTTGCACAGGTCAAATATCTGCCCAGATATCTACTTCAGATGCTAAAACAATTTTATTGTTATTTTTAACTATTTAGCAGCTGCAATTCAGTGAGTCTGAGATAAGGCAAACAGCAGCAGGTAAGCTTCATCCAGCCAGGTAAGTGCTGCACACCCTGAGTGCAGAGCACCTCGACACTCATTGTGGGGTGTGGGAGCCCTTCCGTGCCCATTCTTCTTGGAAGAGATCCTTTTTCTATTTACTCATCCAATTGTTTCTGCTCACCATGACAAATGCTTTGCCAACACCTGTCCCTAAAATTTCTCTGCCCATGGAGCTAAACCACTTAAAGTTACAATATACGATGTCACAACCTAAAGCTTTCTCAACACTGCTGACCAAACTTACTTTCCATCCCTGACCTCAGTCTATTATTTTCAACATATTTCTTTCATGTTTTAGAATTCCTATTAAGTCTTACAAAACCCTACTAAACTAGGACAGATAGTTCTGCATAAGATAGAGGACTGAGACACACCACCCACACACACAGAGGTAAAGACCTCAGATTTCCTAAAGCACCACGAGCCACAGATCTGCTAATCACTGTTCCCTGGTGGCACAAGGATGCAAAAGGTTGACAGATTGCAATCATCATATTGATGATTACATGATCCATATGAACTCTGGATTTTGCTGTATTTGTCAAACATTTTAGAAAAACAATAATCATTGTTCACTGGAAGCACAAGGATGCAAAAGGTTGACAGGTTGTAATCATCATATTGATGATTACATGATCCATATGAACTCTGGATTTTGCTGTATTTGCCAAAAATTTAGAAAAACAATCCCCAGCTACCAAACCTCTCCCAGCTGCATACTCAATTGACAAGGCATATAATTTCAGCAGAAGGGAAAAAAGAAGGTTTATATTTGTGGGGGAACAGAGAAGAGTGGGTGGTTGTAAGCCTTCTTTCAGCAATAATAGCATGAAACAAACAACAGACTTTCATGTCTCCCAAACAAAAACCTGAAACTTCCTTCAGCTTTTGTTAATTACTGTGATTCTTTGAACCCTGGTTTCTGGTAGGACTGCAGCATGACAAGAAGATTCAAACAATACACTGTTTTGGCATGGAGGGCACCTTTAGTTCCCACAGCTTCTCAGTGCATTCGATTAGGATTGCATCCATTGAACATCTTCACTCAGCAGCGAATTTAAGTTACCACCAAATATCCTTACAGGGCAGCACAAATACCCTTACAGGCTCACCATTCCCACAAAACTTTGCCTTTTAGGGCAGACACAGGGTGATAGCTTTGCCATTTACATTTGTACCAATTACCTCTCTGGTATGGCATTTCCACCACACAGACTTGGCACAGCTGCATACTTAGTTAGATTTTAGGAGTTACAAATCCTTCCCAAGCTGACCCGGTCCTTTATGCAAAGCTCAGTTCCTGGCTTGCCCAAACCACAATATTATTTGACAATGTGTCAGTCAATATTCAATGGGCACACAGACGATGGCATTAAGGGCTGGACACACCCCTATTGCATTGAGGTGTACCCTTTATTTTCATAATATTGCAAATATCTTCCTTTGCTGCTTTGTTATTGACTCACACACCTAATCCCCATACCTCTTTACCTAGGCAAGCTACTCTCACACTGGCTTTAGCTTCTGTGTGTGGCTGCCTGCTCACACTCCCCTTGGTGACAGGACACCATCACGCTTCCAGGCATCTGTTTTCAGTCTGAGAGTTCACTGACCACTGGCTGCAAGTGTGAAAACAAACATACTCACGTAAGGCTGGAGTTGTCCCCTGTGGTGCTGCGGCAGGTACTGTTCCCCTTCTTCTTAGTTAGCACAACCTTTGCAGATAGGTGTTGTCTCTTGGCTGACCTTAGCTCTTCCTGCCCCAGAGTCCTAGGTTTTTTTCTTGGGGTATTTTGGACTCTCAATTCTACCTGCAAGGTCCAACATCTTTGGCCCTGCACCTACCAACAAATTACCTCAGGGTATTTTTATCCCCCACAGATTTCACTTGTAATCAAAAGTAAAGAAAACTGAACAGGGGCATGAATTATCTATTTTTTAAATCTGAGATTCAGTTTCCCTTCCAAAATTGCCACGATAGATCATCAGCCTCATATCACTCACATTCATTTTAATTACAGTTTTAATTTCTCTTTGCACTTTCTGGGAAAAAAATTCTCTCACATTTCATTCGAAGTGCTTCTTAAATTTTGGTAAGACACTTTGACAGCCTTCTTTTCCTGAATTAATTATAAAACCCATAAAACACACTAAAACTTTCTGTAGTGAGAAAAAAGGCAATTTCCTGTTTGTCTTAGTTTTCCCTGGCACCAGCTATTTTCAGAGGTAAAGTGAAGCACTGCTTCAGTATCCTGAAGTTGCTTTCCACAGTCTATGTCAGACCTTCTGGACTTTTTGTTGTTGTTGTTCCATTTTCCATTTCATTATTTTGGAATTGTCTTCATTTTTGTTTACTTCAGGCACTCTGCACTACTCAGTAACCAACTGGGCCCATAGAATTTGGTCCAACCCCTCATCTTAACAGGAAATTTGTTCCTTCCCCACGTTTTCAGAAATTAAAGATCATGTTAGCAGAAATTAAAGTTCAAATTCCCAGTTCCTCTTTTATGGGGATCTGGGGGTATAAGCTATGAATAAATTATCTCTTCTTACCACAGAATACTTTTGTACCTACAGGGCTCCATAAACTATCTATGGCTTACACTTCTGCAAAGACAATCCACCTGCTTTATGGCTACTGACAGTTTAATCATGGGCTCAGAGCACTTTTATATCCACAGCAAGAGGCTACTTTGACAGGTTTTGAATAGGGAAGAGACGCTTTCTCGCAAACCAAGTTCAGCCTTATTTAAGAGATAGAACAGCCAGAGGGGTCAAGGCAATCCCAAGCATAAATACAGGCTGGGCAGAGAATGAATTGAGAGCAGCCCTGCTGAGTAGGACTTGGGGGTGCTGGTGGGTGAGAGGCTGGACATGATCCAGCCATGTGCACTCACAGCCCAGAAACCAATCCTGTCCTGGGCTGCATCCAAAGCAGAGTGAGCAGCAGGTGAGGGAGAGGATTCTGTCCCTCTGCTCTGCTCAGATGCACCTGCAGTGCTGCATCCAGCTCTGGGGTTCCCAATATAAAAAGGATGTTGAGCTGCTGGAGGAAGTCCAGAGGAGGCCATGAAGATGATCAGAAGTTGGAGCACCTCTCTGTGAAGACAGGCTGCAAGAGCTGGGGTTGGTCAGCCTAGAGACGGGAAGGCTCTGGGGAGATCTTAGAGCACCTTCCAATACTTAAAGGGGCTATGAGAGAGCTGGAGAGGGACTTTTTACAAGGGCATGTAGTGATAGGACAAACGTAATGGCTTCAAGCCGGAAGAGAGCAGGTTTAAATTAGATATTAGGAAGCAATTCTTTATTGTGAGGGTGAGGCCCTGGCACAAGCTGCCCAGAGAAGCTGTAGCTGCCCCATCCCTGGAAGTGTTCAAGGCCAGGTTGGATGGGGCTTTGAACAACCTGGTCTAGTAGGAAGTGTCCATGGCAAAGGGGTTGGAATTACGTAATCTTTAAGGTCCCTTCCAAGCCAAGCCATTCCAAGAATCTATGCTTTGGCTTGAGAACACAACTGCAAAGCTCCTCCTGCATGAGGGGCAAGTTGCAATGAGCCACAACGTGTGGAATTTGCAATGGCTATACTGCAAACTGGAGATAGAGGGAGGCCCTTCCCACCACTACAATCATGAGTAGCAAAATGAGAGAAGACATGGCACAATTTGGATGAACAGAGAGCAGATGTTGCAGGTGGAAAGCAAAGCTCACTTCTTGGCCCCATTTCTCTGGCCAAAGCTATATGATACATCAGATTCAATGATAAATACAAATCAGAATATACTTGATGCTTTTGCTCCCATCACCTCATTCACAGACTCTGTGAAATGATCCATGTTAAATACAATCATTTTTGGAAGGGTTATTTTAATCCAGATCATGGGGTGTAGTTCAGTACAGACTGAAATTCCTGCCCGAGCAGTAGTCGTATCAGATTTGAGAGGGCAGCAAATTGGGCTGTAGTACTAGAAGCAAGAACCCAGAGAGGAGGAGAATGTCAGATTTCTCCAGTCAGTTTTGCCACCAAACATCCTGTGGTATATGTACACCTTGAAACATTTAAAGAACCCTGTCCAGGTACAAATTCAGAAAGCACACCCTGCCTCCACTCCCCTTTCCCTGTCAGGTCAGTTTTTGCACACAAGGAAGATTTGTAAGTTAAATTTTTTTTGTAGATCTATGTTCAGCTGATGTAACAACCACAAATATTCACAGGTCTTAGAATTCTGGGGTTTTTTCAGGTTAAAGTACTAAATATCAAACCAATAACTCAGCATACGACAAAGCAGATCCCAAGCCCTGGGCATTGGGAGAGACAAGGTTGAAAACCACTTGTGCTGCCCATTGCTCTTGGTGGACTAATGATGTTAAATGCCACGAGGTGAACCAGAACCAAGTTGCTAAATTTTGAACATGTATCACTTTACACTGGATTTGGATGCACAGCTAGGAGAATATTAAAGGTTTAAAATACATTAGGTCCTCATACTTCCTATTTTCTCCATGCCTTAGCTGTATACCTGCTAAGGGTGTGCACACCAGGAGCTAGAGCTGGACAGTCATACTCACTCCCAGGTATCACGAGAAAGGACATCCTAGTCCAATGTTTGCCAATGCTCTGGTAAGGCCTGGCACAGCTGGCATAAACTGACCTTGCCACATGCCACACAAAGGCATGTTTGCGAAGAGACCCCTTTGAACTACAGGTGTACTGTTCCAGTCAAATTTTTCAAATTTTGCTTCCAAAGAGAACGATGCATTTGCTTTTTCCTTTCAAAAGCAGGTGCAAAAATTTCAGCCATTAGAAATAATTAGTTCTAATCATCTTTCAGCTTTGAAATACATTACTATTTGTATTTCTCCACCCCTTCTTACATCCTCTTGTGTTTGAATACCTGAAGAGCAAAACAGGTGTTGTACCACTCCCTGCTTTGCAAACACAGCGAGCTGCAGGGTGGACAACTGAAATGTGTGTTTTGAATCCCAAAAATACACTTTTTCAGGACTAAAATCAGATTCGACTGAATTCAAGCTGGAACAAGTTTAAGGCGCTATAAATGATCACTCTTGGCATGACAGTTTACAAAAGGAGTGGAGACTCGGGTTTAAATCTATTGACTCAATTCAAAGAATCTGAAAGTACCCCTGAAACCCCACTTTTTCCGCACCTGAAGAGGTATGCTGGATGAGGTGAGCCAGCCCTACAGCTATTTTTAGGTGCTTTTCCAAGCTATATATACAGAAACTCATGAAACTCTGCGTTCTCACCCCTACACTCAAATGTGCCAATGCAATTAGCTGTAATTGCCGGGAAACAGGCTCAGTCTGTTATCTGCCACGTTTTAAAGTAATGATCCAATATCCTCCATCTGTCTTCATTAAAACACTCTTTAAACTGACACCAGGATGGCAGTCAAAAATTTGCATTCAGCTCCTGTGGGTAAGTTAGTTGCAACGACGCTCAAGTTACGGATCAACAGCTGTGGCAGAGCGGGTTCCCAAAAAGAAACGCAGTCTGCTCCCTCTGAAACAAACAATAGCAGCTTCCCCGGGCGGCTGCTGCTGCTGCTTGGAATCACACGCAGCTCAGCTCACTCCACCCAGACGTCTCTCAGCTCGCCCGCAGAAAAAACTCAACCCCGAGCACTTTGATTAAGCTTCGCAAAACTCTTGGGTCTGAAAAAAAACCAAAAAGTTTTCTGCCCCCCAAAACTGGCAGAGAAAACAAGCGAGCGCAAGGAAAGCATTAAATCTTACCCTTGAAGGCTTGTAAAAGTCACAACAACAAAGTTGCTGCCCTCCATAGCACTCCGGTACACTCCTCTCTTCTCATTTACACGCAGCTTTATCCCCTCCCAAGACCGACAGCTTCGCTCGCAGTCACAGCGCCGGGACATTCATCTAAGGAACCAAACCTTCCCTGCGCTGTGAAAGGGGCATCACGTGATCGTCTCCGACACCCTTAAAATCCACCGATGACTCGCTCTGACATACAATGTCCCAGTAACTAAACTTACTCCAAGTTCCCTACTTCTTACTTCAGTCACTGGGCTCGGCTCCTTGCCAAAGTCTTTTTTTTCCTTTTTTTTTTTTTTATATATATTCTGTTTCCTGTAGATAGGAAGAGTGTAGTAGCTCCCTTAAAAATAAAATGCTTCAGCACTACAAACTGCAAAAGAGTAAAATAGAAAAGCAGAGCACCTAGGCTTGGGTAACCCCAATTAATTCGAGAGGCAACAGCTGTTTGCTTTACCTACCTCCTGCTGACGCGGAAGCTTTCAAAAAAGAAACCAAGCGAGTAAAAAAGTCCAACATATCCAATTGCTTTCAAAAAGGATGAACTTGGTAAGGAATCCATTTCTCAGCAGCAGCCCCTCTCTCTGTATCCGTAATACTGGTGTTGGTGAGGTTTCCTTAAACCCAGAGACACTGTCCTATGAGTTCCACCTCACTCACTTTCCAGTAGTTGTGAGTAGCAAAAACTCTGCAGAGAAAAACCTCATAGAGCACAATTGCATAATTCAACCACAGAGTTTCCTCCAGCCAGCCAGAGGGTTTCTTGGGTGCTGAAATGTCAGGCACTTGCTCATCCCGAGCGCGTGACCTTCCCTTGCCCTCTGGGACACCTGCCTGGCCTCACTGTGGTCACAGGGACCCTCCTCACCAGAACCCCCCAGCACTCTCATAAACCTCCCAACCTTCCCACCTGTTCTCCCACCTTCAACCAAAACAACATTCACTTTTTTTTTTCCCTAGTTTGTGGGACCCTTCACAATACAGTGCCCTCCTGTATGCCAGTTCCCTGGTGTTTTTCCTACCAAGTGCACTACAAGACCAAAACTAGGACAACTACAACTTTAATCCACTTCTTGCTTCCCTACACCTGTGAATTGCAATTATTTTAAGATCACCCTACTTGTCTTCACAGTAATGCCTCACAGGAATGTCTCCATCTATTGCAGGCAACAAGAGAATGTTTCACATAAAGGATTTCTAGATGTATTTATCTCTGGTTTTTCCTTCAGCTTCTGAGTTTTCCCACTGGGTTTACATGAACACTGTTAAAATTAATTTCAAGCCTACCCACAAACACTTGAATGCATTAATCAGCTGATTAATTATAGTAACATGAGAGTTGAGGCTTTGCCAAAGGAGCGTTTTCTAGAAAGTGAAATTTTCTGGAGTGCTGTCCAGAGGAAAGCTATGGATCACTCTGGATGCTGCAATGGTAGTATTCCAGTGGTCATAAAGGTTGCAGAACAGAGAGGGAATTAAAAGGACCATATAGCACCATTTCTGAAAGAAGAACAAGACCCTATGTCCCTTTGCATGACTCCAGGGTTATTCCAAGCGACACCTACTTGAGACAACATTCATTGAATTGCCTTCCTACTTACAACACACAGTATCTATTCAAACAGCCAACCTGGGACATGGCATGTAGGACTAATCTCCTCAAGATCCAGGTCACTTTCAGATGATTCTGAACTTGACAGTATCCACATATTTGGAGAATCCCTTGTTCTTGCTTCATTCTGGAGCTTTCCTCCTTCTTTTAACTGTAATCTGCGTTTTTCACGACATTTTAATATGTCAGTTGATGACGATTCATTCCACACTACTCCCACTTCCTTTGCTGCTGTCTTTATGCTTGCTTGTTACCACTTTGACCTTGGCCACAGTCATTTCTTCCTTCCGAGAGTTAGGTTTATCTCCTTCCCTTGACATACAGCCATATGCAAGTGCTGGGGCTTGTTTAGACTTCAAAATAACTAAAAGTTTAGTAGGCTGATTTGTTAATGATTTTTCTTGGCACTAAAAATCCACCTCACATACATTGCCAATAACTTTTTCCCTCAGCTGTGCTTTCCTCGTGGACTTCAGTGAACCTGCTCATGTAGGGAAGCTCAGCATACGTGGAAGCACTCAGAAGAGCAGGAGTGACTCAGGGCTATGAACTCAGCTCTGAGTTCTCTTGTCCTTGCCTCACACTTTTTCCCTGGATAGCATCTTCCCAATCACCACATCATTTGCATCAGCCTTTGCAGATTTCTGGACACACTAGGGACCACTGCTGCCCACAGTATCAATTGTCAGAATTTCAGTTCTGGTATAAAGGGTGTACACGTATGCCGGGTGTCTGAGTGTCCACTGCAGCCAGCATGGTTTGGGCAGGGATTCAGCTGCACAGCTGCAGAAAGGCAGCAGTGACTTGCCATGACCCACAGTTGTGGGAAGAAGTTCATTCTATAGCTTTTCCAGTAAATGAGCTGTTTTCTTGGCCAGGCAGCCTCCTCCGTATCGTGGTCCTTCACCTTTTAATCCTCCACTTTCCCAATGGCCCACTAGTCACAGAGGGCTACCCAGAGTGGGGTGGATTTAAATTCATGCCATTAAGACCTTATCCTAAGACTGTATCTGGGAAAATGGCTTCCAGTCATTCAGCCTCTGTGGCATTTCAACTACAATCAAGATCCAAAAATGAAGTCTTACTGACACTGGGGCCCTCAACCCACTCTCCAGACCAGATTTGCTCTCCCTCAAAACAGCAAAGCTGACAGAGCAGAGGATACTCTCTGGATCACCCAGAACCCAACATGTCTGGTGACCTAGTAAAGCTTTGAATGGCTCAATATACCCCAGAGTAACTGGAGAGGAGAACTAGAGGAAAGGAGAGAAACACACTCTGGAGCATCCCACAACGTAGACTTAAACCAAATGTCAGTCCTTGAGAATCTTTCCCTTAAAATGACAATGCCATTTTTAAAATTTCTGTCATCCAGATGCTTTCCCAGAAAGCCTGTATAGTTCAAAAGGAGCACTGATGGACTTTGCTTTCCCTTTCTGTCTTGTAACTGCAGTCTGCAACTGCTGAACTGCAAGGTTTGAAGTCTGACCTGCTCTACCATGGCTGGTACTTCTCTCTGCAGAGAAGCAGCTGTGACCTATGGAGCCAAGATGGGTTCCCCAAGCACCCAGAATTGGTACAATCTCCAGGGATCATTTCCACCCACCCAAATCCATCTCCATCTCCTAGAACAACACAAGTGCATTGCTCATCCTAACCATGGTTGTCACAGTTCCAGAAAAGCCTTTCTTACATGGTGCTGGAGAATTTCCTCACAAACCTCTGAGGGTCAGCCTTAGATGACTGAATCTCCTCCCACAGCCTGTGCTTTCCTCATCCCAGCTTTTCTATCTTTTCCTCACTAGTCCTGGCCAGTGAGAAGCTCCTTGTGTAGGGGAGGGATAAGTAGCCTATTTCACTGTGGGGACCCCTGCCACATCAAGTTGGACCATCGAGTCCAACCCTTAGCTCTGCACAGGACCATTCCCAAGAGTTACACCCTGTGCCTGAGAGTATCATCCCTACACTTCTTGAACTTTGCCAGGCTTGGTGTTATGTGACCACTGTCCTGGGGAATCAGTTCCAGTGCCCACCCACCCTCTGGGTGAAGAACCTTTTTCTAATATCCAACCTAAACCTCCCCTGACACAACTTGAGGCCAATCCTGTCACTGGCCACCACAGAAAAGACATCAGTGCCTGCTCCTCCTCTTCCCCTCAGAAGGAAGTTGTAACTGCAGTGAGGTCTCCTCTCAGTCTCCTCTTCTCCAGGCTGAACAGAACAAGTGACCTCAGCTGCTCCTCATATGGTTTCCCCCCAAGGCCCTTCACCATCTTCATTACCCTTCTTTGGACACTCTCTAATGGCTTAATATTTTTCTTATATTGTGGTGCCCAGAATTGCACACAATATTCAATTTGAGGCCGCACCAGAGCGTTGTATATTGTCCTGGTTAGAACGGCTGGGACCAATTCATCCCTGGATGGGTGTAACCCAAAACTGTGTATTCTATAGCCTCCATGCCATTTCCCAAAAACTGCTGTCAGTAGAGGCCTGCAAGGTGGGAAGATGTTCCTGTACCCTTTTATGGAATTCCCCGCTCTGATATCCTTATATGGAATTCCCCGCTCTGATAAGAGGGACTGAGCATCCACATGCCCTTTTATGGAATTCCCTACTCTGAGGGAGGGACTGAGCACTCCCGCCTGAACTGGAGAGTATATAACTGGGAGTTTCAGAGCCTTGGGGCTCTCTCTCGTGGGACCCAGAGGAAGACAGCAGACCACCGCTGCTCCCAACCAGGCTGAGACCACCACCCTCAACTGGACTGCAATCACCACTTCTGACCAGACTGCAGCAGCTCTCCCACCAGCAGGTTTATTCCCTCTCCCTTTGCTTTGGACTCGGGGGGTGGGCCAAGGTACACCACTTTTGTTCATACCCCGGGGTGCTGGGTTTGTACATTTGGGTTTTGTGGATTAAAACCAATTGTCTGTCTGTATAATTGTACTTATTGCATTATTTTAATAAATTGTTATTCTGACTTATAAATCTCTCTTTTGAATTGAGTTCATTTTGCCTTGCTGGTTAACTTTTAAACCAGCACATATATCCTCTTGCTGTCAAAAGTCGGTGTAAGATGCATAAGAAATACAGGACTGAAAGGAACAAATTGGGACACTCTTGTCCACCCCTTTAATATCAGAGAGCTGTTTAAAAAAAAGGGTGTAGGAAGAAAATCCAAGTTGTAAATTGCAGTAGTCCAAGAAACACCAGCACAATCATAAAATGATTAATGAATGACCAAAGGTCCTAAAATATACTATAGCACAGGTGAGGAAAGATGAAGTGCACTGGCAGTGTCCTTGATCCCTGCAGAAGCTGTGGCAGGTGGAACTGTCCAACTGGCACCAGGAAACACACCACGACACTGCAGAGGAGGGGAAAATTAAACACTTCATGTTCCTGTTACCATGACCAGCCTGTAGGAGGCAAATGAAATGGGCAGAGAAAGGCAATGTCACGAAATGACCAGTTGTTCTAGTGCTGTCCTTGCCTTTTGGGAGCCACTCAGCCAAACTCATTTGACTTCTCCACCAAGGAATTAAACTGGTAGAATTCCAAAGTAACTCAATTTGAAGGGATGCTCTGGATTCCTAGCTGTATGTATCCATCCCTCTGGGTGTAATCTGAAGTGTACAGAATCAGTACTGCAGGTTAATGCAGAAGTATTCCCATACTTCATCAATTACTCCAGAAACTGGGAGCTGTTGCAGTACATGCCACATGGAAATGGTCAGAAAATAGTTTCTGTGGGTATGTGCAGAATAACTTGAGTCATACTGATCAGGATTTGGTGGACTGCTACTTACCTACAGCAGGGAAGGAAGGGTGCATGACTAGAGATGCCCCTTCTCCACCAAAACCCCTTGCCCAGTATTCCAAGCCCTTGACAAACAACAATCAGCTGGGTAAAATCATGAGAAATCCACAAAGCCACAGACTCATGTCTTTAAAAAGATAGCAGCAACTTGCTCTGGTACTATTGATCTCATCTTCCTGGCACCAACACCTGCAAATGTGATACTTCCTGATGTTTTAAAACAGAAATTGAAATAATGTCTCTCAGTTGCCTTGCAGCCCATAGGAGACAGAGCAGAGATGAAAATATTTTGATCGAAGAGCATTCATCTGTGTTGAGCTGCTCAGATTACACTGAAGGGGAGATAAACCTTCAGAAAAAATCAATTCTGCAGGGAACAAGCCTGAGATTAACTCATTTCTGAATCCAGTTCCCACCAGATTTGGGATCTTGTGTTTACAAACTCCCTTCTGGCCAAAAATTTCATTGCCCTGATAGGGAAGGGGCTGTTGCAAGGGCAGAAGTCTCACGGCTCTCCTGAAATATTCTGTGTGATCCTATGACAAACTAAGTGATTTGATGGTCACAGATATTAGTGGGAGCTGATGGATATTCACCTGTCTCAGGATTATGTTGTTGGAGTATAAATCTGTGTCTCTTCATTGGCCTACAACACTGCACGTGCCTGACGGCACAGGCAAAGCACAGGGATTAATCAGCTGCTGCAGCAAACCCCAGATGTGTCCACACTGTGTTTAGCACATATTT